AAGCCCTTAGGAGCCCTCAAAAGGGGCATGCAAAAGTCTGCACAGTATGTAGGGCAGGCATTGTTCAAAGCACCTTACTGCATTATCGCATGACCACCTCGTGAGTTAAAGATGATTACAGAAGTGGAAACTGAGGCATAGAGCCTATGCTCCAGACACTTAGGGGAGGTAAGTTCAACTCTCATGCAGTGACATGATGCTATATTTAGTCTCTTTATAGATTTCGCCTAATTGGGTCCCCAGAGTCAGATCACTTGAACTAAGCCTGTGGGACTTAAAGCCATTGAAGAACTTGAATGCATTGCCACATCCAGAGTGGGGAAGATCTCGAAAGCTGTGATTTTGAAGGAGAGGGAAATAACTGAGGTACTCTGCTCAGATCAGAGGCAGGTGGGAGGCAGTCAGTCCTGTGTCTTGTAGAAAAGATGGTGGGTTCAGCATCAGTACCAGAGTGGAGGCTTGAGAGAGGTTGGCTTCATCATTTCAAAATGAAGACCATCCAAGGATATGGCTGATTGAAACCAAGTGGGAGGTAAAAGTTTGGGTAATACTGAACTTCCGGTCCCTGTGGATGTTCAAAGCCAAGCAGGGGTGGTCTGGGAATGGGAGTATGCTGCTGGGGAAATCCTTGTACCAAGTGGGGTGGCTCAGGGTGATGTGGAGGTCAGTAACCAAGATAGGCTGTTGGTCTGACCTTCAGGGTAGGCAGACCAGTGGTACAGGCTCACCCCAGACTTTATAGCTGAAGTTCTCTCCTTGACCTCTGACCTTATGGATAGCATTGCATGTTCTCAGCCTCCCGCCACTGGCATCTTGAGTAGCCCTCATCTTCTGGCACAAGATGAGTTCAGTTACTTCCACACAGCTCTTGGGAATAGCAAGTTCTTCAGAACTCAGTCTCCCACTGTCTTCTCAGATGCTCCTCACTGAAGCATCTCTAGCCAGCTCTCACGGTTGCCACTCAGGACCACAGTTCCTTTCCCAGCTCCCACTTAGAAACTGGGTCCTAAATCTGCTCAAGCTAGAAAATTATGCAGCATAGCTCCTCGATTCAGACAATATCGTAGGAGTAAGACATAGTGGGTGGATCCGCAATACTTAGGGTCTGGCCTGCATCCCAGAAATATGGCCACTGACCCAGAAGCGTGGGTCCCTTGGAAAAAAGGATGCGGCAAGGTGAAAAAGGTGACCAGTAGGCCACAGGTGTCTGCAGTGAATGGAAGTCCTGGAAAGCAGCAGTTGGTGGGGCCAGCGTGCCATGTCCTTTGCTTCCTGGATTTCTGCTCCCTTCCTAGGTACAGGGGCTTTGAGACCCTGTGAATCCCTCCTTGACTGTCAAGCAGAAGTTTCAGGCATTCACACCTCTGGAGCAGGTTCCTTTAAGAAAGAGCCATACTCTTGATTTCTGTAGGTTTATGGAAAGTAGAACTGCTGTGCCCTATTAGGCAGTCCTGCCTGGCCTATGTGTTTGAAGACTTCCTTGGAGCCTTTGGAAGCCCTTGGGATCTCCTTTAGGCCCTTGCATCTGCCTGGATGTAAAAGCTTTCCAGAGCTTTATATTTTGTACAGGGCAACAAACAAGCAAACTTTGTTCTTGTCTCTTCTTGGTCAGCGGGGGGTGCACTGGTGAGCTTCCTCATTTAGGAAACTCCATCTGGCAGCAGAGAAGATGGGGACAGATTAGCCTGATTGTCTGGATGCTGAGATGAGTCATATTTCCAAGACACAGAGGCCACACACTGGGAATTCAGGATGATATGACAAGTCATCCTTCGTTGTCAACCAGGACATTCTTTTTTTTTTTTTTTTTTTTTTTTTTTTTTTTTTTT